GCGAAACGTCAGGAGAAATGCCTCTAGAACATGGCCATATAGCCCGAAAAAACCCACAAGAACTGAGTACAATAAAAAACATTATAAAATCCATACAAAACAATGAAAAACATAATAACCAATATCTTCCAGTTAAGCTCACTTTCCAATAGCATCGTCTAAGCCGTTCCATGTTTCAGTCTTACATAATTCCGTGTTTATCTATTGCACTGCATTCCCAAAGGTTTGTTCACAAAGCCATGTTTTCATTTTTTTTGAAGGTCAGGAGGGAGGGGGCCAATCTAATATCCCTAGGGAGGGAGTTCCACAGCCGAGGGGCCACCACTGAGAAGGCCCTGTCTCTTGTCTCCGCCAGCCGCAGCTGCAAAGAAGGCGGGATCGAGAGCAGGGCCTCCCCAAACGATCTTAAATTCCTAGATGGTTCATAAGGAGAGATACGTTTGGACAGGGAAGCTGGACCGGAACCGTTTAGGGCAGTGTTTCTCAACCTGGGGGTCGGGACCCCTGAGGGGGTCGCGAGGGGGTGTCAGGGGGTCGCCAAAGACCATAAGAAAACACAGTATTTTGTGATGGTCATGGGGATTCCATGTGGGAAGTTTGAGCCAATTCTATCGTTGGTTGAGTTCAGAATATTCTTTGATTGTAATGAACTATAAATCCCAGCAACTACAACTCCCAAATGTCAAGATCTATTTTCCCCAGACTCCACCAGTGTTCACATTTGGTCATATTGAGTATTCATGCCAAGTTTGGTCCAGATCCACCATGGCATGAGTCCGCAGTGCTCTCTGGATATAGGTGAACTACAACTCCCAAACTCAAGGTCAATGCCCATCAAACCCTTCCAGTGTTTTCCATTGGTCATGGGAGCCAAGTTTGGTTCAAATCCATTGCTGGTGGAGTTTAGAATACTCTTTGATTATAAGTGAACTATAAATCCCAGCAACTACAACTCCCAAATTACAAAATCAATCCTCCCCCAACCCCACTAGCATTCACATTTGTGTGCATTGGGTATTTGTGCCCAGTGAATGAAAATGCACCCTGCATATCAGATATTTACATTATGATACATAACGGTAGTAAAATGACTGTTATGAAGTAGCAACGAAAACAATATTATGGTTGGGGGTCACAACAACATGAGGGACTGTATTAAGGGGTCACAGCATTAGGGAGGTTGAGAACCACTGGTTTAGGGCTTTCTAGGCTAAAGTCAGCACTTTGAAATGAATAAAACCCAATGCATTTGTATTTAAGTGACTTACAAATAAACCTATTATATTTTAATAGATATCAAGTTTCGCCTAGATCCAATGTCGGCTGGGTTCAGTGGGTGTGGATGAACTACAACTCCCATATGCAAGTCACATCGTCCATGGTACGTCCTCCTCCAAATCGCACCAGGATGTAAAGTCAGTCATGGTGGCTATGTGTGCCAAGATCTGTCATTGGTTTGGGTCACAGTGGTCTCTAAAAGTGAATGAAGATACTGCATGTCCCATTATCCATGGTCCAAAGTCTTCCAAATCACACTAGCATGTAGAGTGCGTCATGGGGGCTCTGTGTGTCAGGTTTGGTCCTGATCTGTCATTGTTGATGGTCACAGTGATCTCTAGAAGTGAATGAAGATACTGCATGTCCCATTATCCATGATCCAAAGTCTTCCAAATCACACTAGCATGTAGAGTGCATCATGGGGGCTCTGTGTGTCAAGTTTGGTCCTGATCTGTCATTGTTGATGGTCACAGTGGTCTCTAGAAGTGAATGAAGATACTGCATGTCCCATTATCCATGGTCCAAAGTCTTCCAAATCACACTAGCATGTAGAGTGCGTCATGGGGGCTCTGTGTGTCAAGTTTGGTCCTGATCTGTCATTGTTGATGGTCACAGTGATCTCAAGAAGTGAGTGAAGGTACTGCAAGTTCCATCATCAATTTATCCTCCTCCTCCAAATAGCACCAGTGATACCGAGCGCAGCTCAGACCTCTGCTTTTAAATTAATTTGACCTGCAGCAGGGAGTTCCGTAGTTCCTGGAAGCAAGGATTGGGCCAAACTGATGAAATGTGCCCCAACAGCGAGCTCAACCAGGGACTCAAAACAGCCCTATGCTTTCTCTTCCCACTTTCCTACCCAGCCCCTACTTTGTAACAAAACCCCAAATAAAGATTTATGAAATTGCAACTTTTAACCCTCTAGCTTGATACTTTGGTTCTTTCCTTGCCTGAACTATCTAAATGCTTGAAAATAACCTTTCCCAGGCCGCAGGAGACTGCAGGCCTGCCCGGAATGCCTTCCTGGCGTTCCGGGGAGGCCGAATCTGCACTTTTCTAACCGCGGATACTGAGTCTTCCCCTTTGGGCCCCAGTATCTGCGAGATGGCCAAACACCCCCATTTCGGTGGCATATTTTTCCTAGCTTAATTCTAACCCTATCTGCTATCTCGCTTTTTGCCTTTCGGACTTCTACGCTCGGGAAATAACCGTTCAATTTTTAAGAATATATTTT